AGGCGTGCTCGCCAAGATATCAGAATCATGATCCTATATTTTTTAAAGGGATGAAGAGTTGGTTTATGGTTTTTGTTTAAGATAGTATGGAGAAGGAGAGGTTGTATGTGTTTGATGTTGTTGTTGCTTAACAATTTAAGGTGGAGGGTGGAGGTTAAAGAAGAAGCTTGATGGTGATGATGGTCATGGCTTCATGGGGGAGGATGTTGAAGAGAGTGAGAAGTAGACGGATTGAGTTTGGAGGAAATGTATCGCATGAGGAAAGGATGAGGGTGAGAATGACGGTTATACCGTTACAAGGTGGTGTTTCACATGAATATGGTTGAGGTGAAGAGGTTGGGAAGAATAATGAATAATAGAAGGTGAGGGTTTTCTATGTATAAATGAGATAGATAGGGTAGTGTTATGATTTCTTCAGTGGAGAGAAGACCTCCTTTTTTTTTTCTTTTCAAATGAGTGTTGGGTTATTGTTAACAAATCAGAGGGACTTCTTAAATCCCTCATTCAAAACATGATGTGTGAGGGAATAGAGTATAAGGCAATGTTTGGACTAGCATACATAAGAAATCCATTTTTTCTCATTAAAATCCAAAGGGTGGTCACACATGTCTTCAATTTAGTGGAAAGGGAGAAAATTTTTTCTAATTCCTTTTTCTTTTTATAGAATTTTATCTCTAAAACTAAAAAGAAAAATGCTAGAAATTAAAGTTTATTAATTAAAATAAAAACCAATAACACAAAATAAAATCAAATTGAAAACACAATCAATTCTAAATAATTTCATTAATTAATTTGGCTAAAAAACAAAAATAATCGGGTAAAAAATAAATAAAAATCAGATGCAAGAGTGTTCGAAAAAATAAACTAAATACATTAAAATTATCAGCGCAGAATAAACTTTTCGGAAACATACAGATTTCAGTCAAATTTTGAAATAAAAATGGATCGGTTAAAAGGCTTAGGCAAACAAAAATGCGGCAGACAAAGTAGTTAAAAAATTAAAACGAGCACACCAGGTTAAACAACGCAAACTGTAGATTAAGAATACTGACGTTTGCAAACTCAATTTTAAAAAATTTCACCCTCTAATTCGACGTACGGTTGAGAATTAATTTGACCGGTCCGTTTGTAGATTTGAAAATTTTGATCTCGCTGATATTTTAAGCGTTACATGGAACACATATACATGCTGCAATAAGTGAAAAATGCAGATGTCTGTAAACGCATTGAATGACTGTTTGAGTAATTATTAATAGACAACCAGATGCAAATAGATCACCCTTGGGCCATTTACTTCTAATTCTCCATTATAATTAAAAACCATATAGATTCAGATGACGACAATACTCTTTATTGTCACCCTCTGGACCTCTGAAACAAGATGCAACAGAATGAGAGATGCATTGAGATTGAGAAATCAAGCCTTTTGACTTCTTAATCAAACAGATGACTGAATGAATGTCATCAAGACCAATTAAACCGCCAGAATTCCTAACTTTTTATCTAAACCCTGATGAATGCTTTTGACTAAAAGAATGTATGATAAAATGAACAATTTGTACTATGCAGATGCAAGTGAAGAAAACTCGGGGTAAAATTCAGCGTATCAATGAGAAATATCAAATCATCTTTGTTTATTCAATATCAAGAAAACAGATAACAAAAAATTGAAGATTGAAATGAAGCTTGTATTAGAGTGAAAAGCTTGAATACACAGTAGGAGATTCATGCCATATATACAATTTTTGAAAGCAAAAAAGGCGGGAAAATGTAGTTGTGATTAAAGGACAGATTATCACATTAAACTCAATTAATTTCTAGTCCTAAAAGGCTAATCTTAACAGCCCCTCTCAAGATAAGCATGGTAGATATTGATCATGTTAAGCTTGGAAATGAACTTGTTGAAAGTAACAATTGGCAAGGCCTTAGTGAAACAATCCGCAAGTTGTTCATGAGTTGAGATTGGAAGAAGTCAAAGCAATCCTTGTTGAAACTTCTCACGGACTAGATGACAGTCAATTTCCAAGTGTTTGGTGCACTCATGAAAGATATGATTCGACGTTATGTGCGTAGCACTTTGACTATCGCAGTACATATCAGGTGGCTTGCAGCAAATGATTTGCAAATCTTTCAGCAAGTATGTCAACCAAGTCAGCTCACATGTAGCAAATGACAGTGCACTATATTCAGCCTCAGAGGAAGATCTTGTTGTTTCTTCGCACGCCATGAAATGAGAGAGGATCATAAAAAGAAACAATAGCCAAAAATTGATTTACGTGAATCAAGGAATCCTGCCCAATCTGCACCAAAAAAGCCAAGTATCCGAAACTTTGAATTTCTAGAGAAGAATAAGTCTATTCCAGGACTACTTTTCAGATATCTGATGACATGACATGCAGCTTGATAATGAGTCAAGGTTGGATTATGCAAGAACTGGCTGAGTTATTAGGTTGCATATGTGATATCAGGCCTTGTGGTATTGAGGTATAATAATATGCCAACTAATCTTTTGTATGCTCCAATGTCTTTAAAGGATTTACATCTATCAACATGTAATTTTATGGATGGATCAAGAGGTGTGGTGGCTGGCTTTGATCCAAGTAGGCCTGATTCTTGAAGGAGGTCAAGAAATTAGATGAAGGAAAAGAGAATAGGGTATTACCTGCTAGTGAATGACCAACAGTAACTTGATTAGAAGAAGCTTGTCCTGTACCTTTGGATTCAAGATGTGACTTATGAATTAGATCCATTAAAGCATTGAATTGGTCTTGTGTTATAGAGGTGTTACCATTCTTCATGTCAAGAGAATCATAAGTAGAATTGGATGTGGAAGCAAGATCTCCTCATTCTGATATAACATTATTTGTTGAATTAGAAAACTATTTCTGCATATGGGGTGGAACTCCATGTTTCTTGAAACAATTTTCTATTGTGTGATTGGTTTTGTGGCAGAAGGTACATACACGATTACCATATTTGAAGGAATTGAACTTAGAGTGAGACATTTTGGAATCTACTGCATTGATTAATGCTTGAGATTCATCAACCACTATAGGTAACTGACTTTGCCTTTCATGTTGGATTATCATAGAAAATATCTTGTTAAGTGGAGGCAAAGGATCCATTAACAAGATTTGAGACTTAATAACATCAAATTGATCATTTAATCTGGTTAAAAACCTAATGATGTAGAGTAGTTTGTGATTGGACCTAGCACTACACATAGCTTCGCAAGAACATTGAATACGTCAAGTGCACCTAGGTAAAGGCAAGTATAGGTCAAGTTCTTCCCAAAGAATTTTCACAGATGATAAAGTTTCAGTTACCGATTTGTTTTCTTGCTTGAGGTTGTAGATTTCTTGCTGCATCTCAGAAATACGAATGAGGTCACCTTGCGAAAAACGTTCTTTGAGGTCATTTCAAACATCTACATCGTTTTCCATGAAAACTATTGATTGTGCAATGGATTCAGAAACAGAGTTCATGATCTAAGAATGCACCAATATATTGCAGCAATTCCAAGCTCAAAACGAATGATAAAAATAATCTAGTGGTGGAGGAAAACTACCATCGATGAAATCCAGTTTTAGCTTACCACCGAGAGCTCTTTTCATGGATTGTGCCCAAAAATGGTAGTTTGATCCGGTAAGCTTCGGAGAGACGGTGACTGAGCTAGGACCATCACTGGGATGAACAAAGTATGGTGAATTTAGATCAAAGAGTGGATCAGGTGGCTGAACCCGTGACGACGCCATGATCGAAAAAACAGAGAATTCAGAGATTGAATAGCGGAAGTTGGATCGAAAATGCAAATGATACCATAATGAAAAATATCAAAACACCTTTGTTTATTCAATATCAAGAAAACAAATAACATAAAATTGAAGAAAGATTGAAATGAAGCTTGTATTAGAGTGAAAAGCTTGAATACTCAGTAGGAGATTCATGCCATATATACAAGTTTTGAAAACAAAAAAAAACAGAAAAATGTAGTTGTGATTAAAGGACAAATTAGCACATTAAACTCAATTAATTTCTAATTGTAAAAGGCTAATCTTAACAGGTATGATAGGATAATATCAAGAAAGACATTTCCTTTCATTACAGGTTTGTATCCTAAGAATACACATTTTCTTGCTTTGGAGTCAAATTTTGTTCTATGTACTTAAAGAGTGGATGCATAACACAATGAGTCAAACACCTTAAAAGGGTCAATATCAAGTATTTTGTTATGCATGATTTGGTAAGGTGATTTGTGCTGTAAAATAGGAGTAGAAACTGTGTTGATTACAAATGTGGCAAATTGAATGACAGATGAGCAATATGATTTGAGCAACTTGGATTGATATAAGAGAGCCCTACTAACATTTAGTAATTTTTGGTGTTTTCTTTCAACTCTCTCATTTTATTAGAGTTTCAATCCAAAACTTTTGGTTAACTATGAATTTAGATGCATAAATCAGATTTAACAAGAATCCGAGTCCATTATCTGACCTAACAACCTTGGTTATTATGTTGAATTGATTTATGACCTTGGTTACAGGTTTTGAATATGTTGGGAGACCCAAACTTAGTTTTGAGCAAAATAATCTACACAAATCTTGTATGATGATCTAAGATGATTAAGAAATATATGTAATTATGCACAGAGGGAATGACTAAAATCTCCAAATACTAAAATGCAATAATTCAAATCTATTTGAATTGATTGAATGAATTGCACTGTTTGATAATTTTCTTTGTTTTACTAAATGACAAATATCACACATGACATTACTATCAAAGACAAAAGATGAATACATTTGAACATTTGAAACATTTGTTTGATTCTCGATATGATTCATGACTTAGTCTAAAATCTTAAACTGTTGCATATTGTTTAATCAATATATCACTCATTTTAATTTTTTTTTATAGGAGTGAGAGGTATATGTGTGGTGGTGTTAATAGATTGCCCTAATTTATATCTATATAAGCTAATCAAAATCCCTCTTCTTTGCATGGCTTCCCAAATGTCTCATTTCTTCTTAGTTTCCATTGCTGTTTTCTTTTTCTTTTTCTTTTTGGAGAAGAGTTTTGCCATTGAAACAACATGGGAGGAGACACACCATCTTGTTCAAATCAGCTCTCTCTTACCCTCACCTTCTTGTAGTTCATCTACTAAAGGTAAATTCAATCTTAATTTAATATTTATTTCCCTCTATCCTCAATGGATAAGCTTAGTTATTGTTGAACTTGGAGTATTTTTACATGCAAGTTAGAAACTTTTATTAATTTATTGTTAATCTCTACCAAATAAATTGAGTTATAGATTAGTTATAAAATAGATGCATACTTACTACTGTCATATATTAAATGGCAACTTAATTAGAAATTGTTCCTAATCAACTAATTTATGCTTAATCTAGGTATAAGTATATAGTATATGTAAATTCTCCTTTTCTTTTATAAACAACAATTGAATATTATTAATAATAGAAGTATAACAAAGATATTCAATAGACAGATAAAAAATTGATACAATGATTAAATTTTATCTTAGTTGGTGGAGTTGATTACATAAAACAACTTTTATTATAATATTTTGTGAAAGACCATATTTATATCTAAATTAATTGTTAATTTTAAAATCTTTTTAAATAACTTTTTTATAGTTTATTTTAAGTTTTATTCTATTCTAATTGTTTAATTCCTTTTATCTAATTTATTCTCTTTAGTATAGAATCAACCGATTTTCTCTCTAAAGATTTAAATCATCAAAAGTCTATTTTCCACCCTCTTATTTTATTCTTAATAAATTAAATAATTATTTAATTGTGGAAATTATAGAAGTGATAAAAAACAAAAATTAAAAAATTTGTAATACATCTTAATCAATCTTTTTTACTTAGTATGTGGTCCAAAATATCTCTGAACTTAAATATTTTGAATTTCGTAAGACAATATTTTTATTAATTTATTTCAAAAGCAAAATCAAATTCACCTCACCTTCTTCCCCTTTTAATATTTTTTTTACTTTAAAATTTATGTAAATAGACTCTCAAGCCCAAGTCTCACCAAGCAGAAAGGTGATTTAATTTCTTACTAATTGAGTCAAACTTTATGGTCTTTCCCCTTTAGTAAAATAGTGCTCAATCATATCCATATAAAAAAGTAATTCTAGTGAACATTAATGGGGTTAAGTTATAAATATGATATTTAATGATTTTTTTTAAAAATTTTATTATGTGGTATTGGTAATATGTGGGTATAAATAAACTCAAGATAAGATTTTGTCTTTGAGTCTTTCATTGATAATATCTCAAGATTCCTTAGTTAAGTCATTCTCATCCTTATATAATTAATGGTCCTTATATATATAAGATAACATTTAATTTGCATAAAAGAATCTTACTTCCGAGTTAGTTTTGTGTTGCTAATTTTTTTAATTAACAACAATTAGTTGTGGTACTAAACATGGTAATTCATTATTGAATTTCAGGTCCAAAAAGAAAAGCATCATTAGATGTAATACACAAACATGGTCCATGTTCACAACTGAACAAAACTGGAAAAGCAAATTCTGTTGAAACACATAGTGAAATTCTAAATCATGACAAAGAAAGAATAAACTATATTCACTCAAAGCTATTATTATCATCATCATCCAATAATAATAACAAGGTGGAAATAGAATTGGATTCTTCTTCTTCAGCTAATTTACCAGCAAAATCTGGAAGCTTAATTGGATCAGGAAATTATTATGTTGTTCTTGGACTTGGTACTCCTAAAAAGGATTTATCACTTGCTTTTGATACTGGGAGTGATCTCACCTGGACTCAATGTGAACCTTGTGCTCGTGCTTGTTACAAACAAATAGATGAAATATTTGATCCATCAAAGTCTTCTTCTTATTACAATATCACATGTACTTCTCCAGATTGCACTCAACTCTCTTCAGCTACAGGTATTTTTTATGATCACCATTTTAATTATTTTATCAAAAGTTAAATTAACAAAAATTTCAAGTACTACCTAAAACTAATTAGAATTTAATTATCCTTTTATGAAATACTTATGGTTTGGTCTATTTAATTTTTAAAAACTGTATTATTACAGGAATCAATCCCGGTTGTTCTAGGTCAACAAAAGCATGCATATACGGGATCCAATATGGCGACCGATCCTTCTCCGTCGGATACTTCAGCCGCGAACAACTCACTCTTACGCCAACGGACACCGTCGATAATTTCCTATTCGGTTGCGGTCAAGACAACGAAGGCTTATTTAACGGCATTGCCGGTCTCTTAGGTCTTGGCCGTCACCCAATCTCTTTTGTCCAACAAACCTCTCAAAAATACGGTAATACTTTTTCTTATTGTCTTCCACCTACGTCTAGCGGCGTTGGCCATCTCACATTCGGTGGCGCCGCGGATAATAATTACTTAAGTTACACTCCATCCCCCGCTGCTTCCCGCGGCGCATCCTTCTACTTCCTGGACATTGTTGGAATCAGCGTCGGCCGGACCAAACTTCCTATCTCATCCTCTCTTTTCACCTCCGGTGGCGCCGTTATCGACTCTGGCACCGTCATTACACGGTTGCCACCAACCGTATATACCAGCCTCCGTGATTCCTTTAAGAAAGGCATGTCGAAATATCCTCCTGCTTCGAGTTTCTCACTTTTTGACACATGCTATGATCTTAGTGGGGTTGAGGTTGTGTCTATTCCGAAGGTTAATTTTTTCTTTGGTGGTGGTGTCACGGTGGAGCTCGTGGCTCCGGGGATACTTTATGTTCTGAGTTTGAAGCAAGTCTGTTTGGCGTTTGCGGCAAATGGTGATGATAGTGATGTTACTATCTTTGGGAATGTGCAACAAAGGACACTAGAGGTTGTGTATGATGTTGGTGGTGGTAGGATTGGGTTTGGTTCAAATGGTTGTAAGTGAAAGTGAAGTTTGTTTTGAATATTTTGACCAATGTGTAGTTTTTATTAATGTTATTGCATACTAGCATTAAATAATTACATGGAGGTTGGAATGGAAAAATAGGGAATTTTTTTTTAAACTAGCAATGTATTATTTTTTATTTACCAAATAAATCACTCTTTCAAAATTATTACTAAAATGACAATGTTTTAAAATGGTTCAACGGGCGTTCGCCAAACCAACAGGCGTTCGCCAAACCAATTGGCGAATTAGGCCAAATGGGCTTCAAGGAATAATTGGTTATATTGGTTAGGGTTTCCGTTTTCATTCTTTTTTGATTTTAGTTATTATTATTATTAACCATAAAATATATAAATTTATAATCTAATTAATATTTATATAATTAATATTAATATTAATTTATAATATAATTTATAATGTCATCTATAATATTAAAAAAATTAAGTTTAAAAGGTTAAATTATTTTATGAAATTATAAATTTAAAATAAATTGGTTTGCTTGCTAAATCGCTCAGCTAGGGTTTTAAACTTCCCTTATATATTTTTGGGGTGGCATTCATCAATGGATGTATAGCCACCCCAGTGGTAATCACTTTGTCATCAAATGTGCATTTCACCTTGCTAGCCTGGGTTCGATCCCTGATGAGGATCAATCTTTTGGTAGTGCGGTTTGAAGTTGTTACTCGTGAATGGAGAGATGTCGGCGTCCTTGTGATGATGTTGACACCAAAGGAGATAAAGTTGTTACTCGTGAATGGAGAAAAGTGGAAAATGATGTCGGCGTCCTTGTGATGATGTTGGACACCGATGATATCGTAGACGCTCTGTTCCGGTGTTTTGGTGTATCTTTTTAATTTGTTGTGATGATGTTGACACCAAAGGAGATAAAGTTGATGGTCGTGATATCGTAGACGCTCTGTTCCGGTGTTTTGGTGTATCTTTTTAATGATGTCGGCGTCCTTGTGATGATGTTGGACACCGATGATATCGTAGACGCTCTGTTCCGGTGTTTTGGTGTATCTTTTTAATTTGTTGTGATGATGTTGACACCAAAGGAGATAAAGTTGATGGTCGTGATATCGTAGACGCTCTGTTCCGGTGTTTTGGTGTATCTTTTTAATTTGTTGTTATGTTTGTTTAATTTATGAAAGTTAACTCTGCTTGTAATAGAAGGAAATTTGCACTTACTTCTGCTTGTAATAGAATGAAATTTGATTTTAATCAAATGAAAGTTACTATTGAATTAAATGGACACGTTTACAAATGAAACTATGATCTGCTGCTTGGTCCTACGTTTGGACACGTCGTACGATTGTGTCCTGGTTGCCGACACGAACTACACAATCTCACTAGCTTATCCGAGGTATCCATCTCTGTTCGTATGCGCGTGCTGTTAGGCCGACCCTTCTTTTTTCTGCGCATCAAGTCATTATGCCAAACAATTTGGCCTTCGTATTCCGGCCAATAGTCTTCCTTTGCCAACACCTGAAAACTGCATGAGTAGACATTGCATAGACTTATGACTTAGTGAACTGCAGAAACAATTTAATCAAATGAAAGTTACTATTGAATTAAATGGACACGTTTACAAATGAAACTATGATCTGCTGCTTGGTCCTACGTTTGGACACGTCGTACGATTGTGTCCTGGTTGCCGACACGAACTACACAATCTCACTAGCTTATCCGAGGTATCCATCTCTGTTCGTATGCGCGTGCTGTTAGGCCGACCCTTCTTTTTTCTGCGCATCAAGTCATTATGCCAAACAATTTGGCCTTCGTATTCCGGCCAATAGTCTTCCTTTGCCAACACCTGAAAACTGCATGAGTAGACATTGCATAGACTTATGACTTAGTGAACTGCAGAAACAATTTAATCAAATGAAAGTTACTATTGAATTAAATGGACACGTTTACAAATGAAACTATGATCTGCTGCTTGGTCCTACGTTTGGACACGTCGTACGATTGTGTCCTGGTTGCCGACACGAACTACACAATCTCACTAGCTTATCCGAGGTATCCATCTCTGTTCGTATGCGCGTGCTGTTAGGCCGACCCTTCTTTTTTCTGCGCATCAAGTCATTATGCCAAACAATTTGGCCTTCGTATTCCGGCCAATAGTCTTCCTTTGCCAACACCTGAAAACTGCATGAGTAGACATTGCATAGACTTATGACTTAGTGAACTGTAGAAAGAAGGTTGGTTGGGTCCTGGCGCGCCTTCGAACAAGCTGCTATGACATGAGAGCAAGGCATACGGAATGCTTGAAACTTTCCACAATCACACCAGCTCTTATCTAATTCAACACGATAACATCCCCTGGACCTTCCTTCATTGTGATCTATAGCCTCGGCAACACTGAACCAACCAGCTGTACGGTCAAATATTGTGACCACGTGGGTGTTGGCTTTGGAAGCTTCGTCTTTCATGAATTTCATTGCAGTGTCGCTGTACAGCTAACCCGATTGTAATACCGAACCCCACTTCGCACGCCTGCTATCAAAAAGTGATCCCATCCTAAAATAGGTTGCCTTTACCAACGCAGTTATTGGGAGGTTTCGAATTCCCTTGAAAACCGAATTCATTGACTCGACGAGGTTGGTTGTCATGTGGCCCCATCGCACCCCATTGTCGTATGCCCGCGTCCATTTCTCCCTATCAATGTCGTCAATCCATCTTAATGCATCCGCGTTGTTCAGTCTAATCTCGTCACGGTAGTATCTGAATGTTGGTTCAGTTAGTGCATACCCCACGTTCACAACCTTCTTCCGCAGCGTCCTGTCTTTGATCTCCCTCATGAAATTTTGGGCAATATGCCTTATGCAGTAGACGTGGGTCGATGGAGGATCCTGCCAACCGTTGTCATGGTTGTTGTAAGCACTCTCGATGGATGGGTGTCGATCGGAGATCAAACATAAGTTAGGTTGGGGAGACACGTATGACCGTAGGTTTTTTAAGAAAAAACTCCAACCCCCAGCAGTCTCCCCTTCAACTATTGCGAAGGCTATCGGGAAAATGTTGTTGTTCCCGTCTTGTGCCACAGCCATCAGAAGTGTGCCCTTATATTTCCCATAAAGCCAGGTTCCGTCAATCTGAATTATAGGTTTACAAAATGCAAACCCTTTGATGCATGGTTCGAATGCCCAAAAGACTCTGTGGAAAATTCCATTGCCAGCAACATAACTCCCGTCTGGTGTACAAGCAGGCAACGTCTCCAATATCGCAACAGTTCCTGGAGAGTAGTGTTTAAGGGCTACTAGGAATTTAGGAAGTTCCTTGTATGACTCCTCCCAATTTCCAAACACCATTTCAACAGCTTTATTCCTGGCTATCCAGGCTTTTCGGTACGAAGGAGTGTAGTTGTACCTTTGTACCATATGCGCAATTATGGTACTCACCTTCAAAGATGGGTTGTCGCTGACGACTGATAGAATCTCATCACAAATCAACTTAGAGTTTAGTTTGCGATGGTCTTGCATCGGATTCGAGATGATACAGCTGTGGGACGGACCCATTGACCCTATCTTCCAGGAATCACTTCTCTTCCTGAAAGATGCTATTAATTTGAACGGGCACTCCTCGTTACGGCAATAGATCATATACCGTGTTGGATTTGAGTGATCAACCCTGTAATCGGCTGACAATTCCATGTGAAACTGTTTGATAGCCTGGACACAATCTTGTTTCGTATGAAACTCGTCGCCCTCTTTAAGTTGGCCCCGTGTTGTGTAGTTGGGGATGTAGAAAACATCCGTTGCGGGTTCATCATCAACTAAGGTGATATCAGTCATGTGATTTGGTGGACAATAGACATGCTCAGGTTGAACTTCATCCTCCGGATTATTCACCATCTCGTCAATAATGACTTCAGTTGCTTCTTCTTCTTCGTCCACGACATTGACTTCGGGGTGTTCATCTTCAGAATCGCAAAAAACTTGTGACAAATCAAGTTGCTGAGACAGTTGTTGCTGTTGTAACGTAACGTATACCATGATTTCTGAGAACCCTGAATACTCGTGAGTGCGGAACATGTTACGCACGTCTTCATCATCTCGCACCTTTAAAGGAAAAAATTTGCACGAATCAAGTCCGCCAAAGAATACTGGGTTTTTGTATACTATTTGTCAAACTGGACCGCACTGCAGTTTTTTTTCGATTCTTGACTTCAGGTGTAAGAAATTAGACCTTCTGTCAATTAAAAATCTTGTAACCTCCGTGTTTCTGAAAGTGTATCCCAAATCCTCACATTCGAAAGCTTCACCATTCATATGAGCGGCAATCATGTGTTGTGGTGTTTGAGACATTGTGGAAATTATGGTGTCTGAATAACGGGGTGTAACAACGTTTTAGTGTTTGAGTGTGTTTGAGTCTTTGAGTGTGTTTGATAAAGGCTTTATATAATGGCCTTAGTGCTTCTGAATGTTTGAGTCTTTAAGGGTGTTTGATAAAGGCTTTATATAATGACCTTAGTGCTTCTGAATGTTTGAGTCTTTGAGTGTGTTTGATAAAGGCTTTATAAAATGGGCTTAGTGTTTTTGCATGTATCAATAAAGTTCTGCCTTTCATTTACCACGTATGCTCCTTAATCAATAACGTGAACCACAGACTTGATATGAATTGACACTGCAAAGTTCTGCATTTACATGTGATGTTCAAGTTAGGAATCTCTGTCTGCCTTACATTTATGGCGCATGCTCCATAATCAATAACGTGAACCACAGACTTGATATGAAGTGACAATGCAAAGTTCTGCATTTACATGTGATGTTCATTTATCATGCATGCTCCATAATATGAACAAAGTATAATATGGAAAATAGTATAATACGAAATAAATCATACTTTGCCTTAAAAATATTAAATATATTATATCGTATGATGAAATAAATCACATTACGATGAATAAAAATATTATATAATATGCTGAATAAATAATCACACTATGCAATGAATGAACCACTGTATGATTAGACGCTACACTGAAGGAATCTCCTTTT